GATGGACCATGGAGACAGAGGGATGAGGGTGTCGGACCTTCGCTATGAAGAAGAGGATGGTGAGTTTGTTTGTCGCAAAATAAGTCTTTCCTCCTTATTTGGTCTGTAATGTGTTTTAAACCAGTTTTATTTCTGAGTCTGTTAGAACAGAATTCCAAACTCATGCATTTCGCTTCACAGATAGAGGGGCGGAATGCCTCTCATTGTCACAACATCCAACATTTCTGTGTGTCTTTGTCATGATCAAGACAGAAGACCCAAATTTTCGGCCAGAAACACAGAAGTAGAACTTAAACAGTTTAGGAGCGCATCCACCGAGGACCAGGGGTTACTAAGAATGGAGATGTAGGTTAGTGGCTTAAAGGAGTTGAAATAGTGAAACTAACAAAACCACTGATCTTATCAGAGTCCTCCCTTCAGCGGGGATCAGCAGCTTTAACAGAGCGGACTGCTCCTTTAACAGATGTTTGGGTGGCCAACAGTTGGGTGGCCTGGAGCACAGAGGCAGGATCAAGGTCCTGGAAGACAGACTCAGGCTTAATGATCAGGGGGCTTGGAAGGAGGCTAAAGTCAAGGGTCGTTATCTAGAAGGCCGGAAAATCCAACAAATTCTAGGCAAGAGGGAAAATCCATGAAGCAAAGATGTGGTCAAGAACAGGTAACATGAAGTGCTGCAATTATCTGGCCCTGTCTGCCTGCCACAGGCTGATTTATAACAGCTGAGAGACATAATGCTGATTGCTCTGCAGAGCAGCAGGCAGCACATGGAGTTGATCGCTCGATGGAAGAGCAGAGCAGGCAGACTGGCCAGAATCATAACAGTCTTCCTGTTGATCTTGGTATTCAACCAGAACTACTATTGGAAGTCAGTTAAAGAAACATCAGGAAGCAGAGTCTCAACTAAAGCCCCATTTTCCACTACCCTTTTAAAACCGTGCCAAGATCAGTCCGAGCACGGCAACAGAGATAACTGTCAGGTTAAAACTGAACCAACCCCTGCCAGACACAACCGAACCAGGCTTAACTTGGTCTAGTTCATCAGTAGGGCTTAGGGCGGTTCAGATCTTAGATATCAAAGAGTGCTTACAGTCTCCTTAAAATCAGCCTCCGTAATCATGAAATTTCAGACATTCATAAAAATCCTAGCTTCCCTACTCTGCCACATGATTTCCAGTGATGATTCTGCTTAGCAGGGTGATGAACCTCAACGTCTGTGGTTGTTTCCTGCGTCTGGAAGCCCTGATTAGACTATTGCTTATCGTATCCACTTCCTGAAAGCCGACTCTGTCAAGAAAATTCACCAAAGCCTGCCTTCTTCGCCTGACTCTCTGCAAACTTTCTTTAGAGAGGTGTAGTACCGTAGATCGTGAAAATATATATACACATGTTTAAGCTAAAAGAAGTAAAGAGCTAAGTTAAAGCTGCAGCAAAACGTCCATATTGAAGAAGTATATGCTAAGTATAATCTAAGGATGGGCAGCAAATTTACTATTCCCAGGTGTTAGGCCAAAGCCCTTTGCAAATGGCGAATCAAAGCTTCATTGTTCAGAATTTTTTTATAACACTCCATCTCAGTTAAGTTACCTGGAATTAACGGACTCGGGGAAAACCATGATGGTGTTTTTCAACAATCGCCACTAGGAGGCAAGGACTCATGCTAGCGTGGTGTGTAAATGGTCTTAAGGAGCCGAGCTCGGCGCGGTTAACTGATTCAAGCTTGGCATGGATGGGTTTTCAGACGGCAGTGTAAATGGAGCTATAGTGACTCAACATTTTGAGGGAGGTCGGCCATGTTTAAACCTCAAACCTTTTGTTTGGTATGCTCCCGTCTGTTGAAGACAACATAGTGAGATCCGAAGAGGGCTTTGGGAAGGAGATCAAAGCAGCTTATAGGAAAACAGGAAGCTGCCTTTGATTTAAGCCTGTTTTGTAGTTACATTGACCTGGAGGACTTATGCTACGTTCACACCGCATGAGCTTTGGGCATCAAAAAAGCTTCTGCTGCTTCATTTCTGATGCTCGTCCTCATTAAGGTCAGCCGTCCAGTAAAGTGAGTCTGATGCTTCTGCTGCTCCTGTGTTCGATGCCAGAGAGCAGCTTTGCTATATTAGCTGTGATCAGTGGGTAGAAAGTAGTTATAATCTCTGTTGAAGTGAGAAAGTCCTCCTGAAAACATGGTCTGTGCAGTCAGTTCATCCAGATTACCATCCTGCCTTCAAAGATTATTTCTCTGTGGGAGCCGCTCAGAACCCCACATTAGAGCAGGGAATATTAGCCCGAACCCGACGGGACCCGAGAGGTCCTGCCGGGTTCGGGCTGTACTTTTTATTATTTCATTCGGGCCGGGCCGGGCTCGGGCTTTAAACCGTTATATGCGCGGCAAATAAATTATCATGTGATAACGTTCGATCTATACGCGATGAATGCAAAATGGATGTTACAGAAGTGAAACGGAGATTAGCCCTTAATGCGCACAATTGAAAAATATCGGGCTGCAAACGGGTCGGGCTCTACGAAGCTGTCAATCATAACGGGCCGGGCACGGGCCTGGTTCTTTCGGACTCGGGTCAGTTTCGGGCTTACTTTCAAGGCCCGTTTCATGCTCTACCCCACATACCGGCGCTGCGCTGTCACTGGGAATCCCCAGCAGCAGCTGCCTCATGCCCGCTCGCCTCTTGGGGGTTTTCCCCTCCTGTTGGTGGCGGCTGGAAGTAGATGTTAGCGTTTTTCAGGTCTGTGGTACAAACTGCAGGCAGCAGGATAATAAAAATAAAACATATTTGAACATTTTAAGTTAATTTATGCGTTAATAAACTGTTTCAGAGGAGTGATCATAGCGCTCTGCATCAGCAGTGCTGTGTCGGACTCCCTGCCAGCTCCCAGATCAGCAGCAATAGTAAAATTTTTCCAACTCCAGCAGCTGCTCCTGCTTTTTTGAACGCGCTGTAGGACCTTTTGATTCTCCTTTATGTGTATCAACCATAAACACTGCATGTAAAACGGCTACTTCTGCTGACCGAAGCACGTCACATCCGGTGTGAATGTAGCATTAGAGTATGGGGGCATTAATGTTACAATATTATTTACAAATGTGCATTAGGAGTTGTATATCTGTATCTGGATTAGTGGGTGCAGTGGGATTTGAAAATGTGTGAGATTAGTGTGTCTGTACGAGAATCTGTACACGTGTAAAATAACTTGTGTGTAATCCGATTTGCAATGTGTTAAAAAAAAACTCACTAATATGTATTCAGATCTACAAATGCTTAATAAGATCAAATCTGTAGACCAGTCTGTAAACACACAGTCCCGTAAGTCTGAAGTATTTTCTCTTCAACGATAAGAAATCCAGAAAAATCATTGATCACAAGTCCAGCGGTTTCTCGGTTGGCTCTCTTTACACACATGATTTTTTGCTACACTTCGGCTGTGTAAGATCTGCAAATGCGTAGAGAGGATTCATATCTGTAATATCTGTATTTGCTGCCCTGAGTGAAGGTTGCATTATTGCAAAAACATTGCATACCAATGGATTATTTGTAGCTTCAAATGTCCAGTCCCCCTCGCTGTTAGGAGCCATCTTTCCTTGACAAGTGAACTCTCATAGCAGGAAAAAAAAAGATTCAGCCTTTGAGCAAGTGAGCCTGTGAGCCTGCACTCAGGGCAGCAATTCCAGATATTACACATATGAATCCTCACTTCGCATTTGCAGATCTCACATGACAGAAGTGTTGCAAAAATAACGTTTAAAGTGAGCCAACCAAGAAACTTCTTGAATTGTAACCATTTTTCCGTATTTCTAGACATTGAAGTGAAAATAATTCAGACTTAATTGTCTCTCTGTCTTTACAAAATGATCTGTGCATTTGCAAATCTTAGTGGATTTCTTACACATTTGCAAATAAGATTACACACAACTTATTTTACACATTTGCAGATTCTCGTACAGACAAACCAATCTCCTCACACATTTTCAAATCCCACTGCACACACAAATCCACATACAGACACACAACTCTCCGCACATATTTGCAAACAATAATGCAACAATAATATTAGACTTTACACAGGCATAAGGTTTCCTTACAATTTCCAATTCCAGCATTTGGAAAACAGTCCACGAGGAGAGGAGATTGAAAATTCTGCCACTATCCGCAGGCCTGGACATAAAAGAGTTCACCCAGAGGGAAGCTAAAGAAAAGTTTGCTAAACCTTAAGATGCCAGCATATAAGCAGCAATCGGTAACATACTTAAAGGAATAGTACACCCAAAACATGATTAGCCTTCATTTTCTACTCACCCCCATGCTGAACAACACTCTGGAGTACTTTTTTGATATCTCAAATGCATCTGGAGATCTGGGAGGCTTCTTGCTGTCTGCTGACATTCAAATAATGGAGGTCTATGGCGCCCGAGGCAGAAAGGTCCATAAAAGTCCACAAAAAACGTGTCAATATTCCTCCATACTGCTCGTCCAATGTATTCCAAGTGTCCTGAGTGGGTAGCGTCCATAATTTACTCGAAACTAAGTCATTTAGAATGTTTTTAGAGCATAAACAGTAGTGTATAGGATTTCCTGAAAGCGCGCACCTGCGCGTTCATGATGCTACGGAAGCCGGCAGACCAAACCAGATGAAAGTGCGCATTCAGCGTCTGCTCTGCCGATAATGCAAGCGTAGAAGAAGAAATGTGCTGTTTACCTGTGCAAAGAAAGAAACAACGAAAGAAAAATGTCTGAGGACTTCAGTGTTGAGGAAGAGCATGAGTTCTTTGCCGAGCTGAATGCGCACTTTCATCTGGTTTGGTCTGCCGCGGTTTCCGTAGACTCGTGAACTCGCAGGCGCGAGCTTTAAGAAAATCCTATACACTACTGTTTATGCTCTAAAAACATTCTAAATGACTTTGTTTCGAGTAAATTCTGGACGCTACCCACTCAGGACACTTGGAATACATTGGACGAGCAGTATGGAGGAATATTGACACGTTTTTTGTGGACTTTTATGGACCTTTCTGCCTCGGGCGCCATAGACCTCCATTGTTTGAATGTCAGCAGACAGCAAGAAGCCTCCCAGATCTCCAGATGCATTTGAGATATCAAAAAAGTACTCCAGAGTGTTGTTCAGCATGGGGGCGAGTAGAAAATGAAGGCTAATCATGTTTTGGGTGTACTATTCCTTTAAGGTTTTGGACATTGGACTTTTTTTACGTACGAAAACCAACCCCCGGACAGCAGTGGCTTTTCTAAAATTTTAGAATTTTTGATATGGCTAAAAATTGCCCCAACTTTACCAAATGTGAAGTTTTTAGATTAAACGGACTAACTGAGAAATAAGGAATAGAAAGTCTTGGACGAAGTCAAAGTCTGGACCTGTAGCTCTGAACTGAACTTGGAAAGAAGTGAGGAATGCTCTGATCTTTATATTGGAGAAACCAAACAACCTCTCAACACAGAAGAGCGCCCCCCCTGGACAAGACTCAGCTGTACATCTAAACCTTCTGGACAAAGGCGTTCTTTTGAGGACCAGAATGTTCGCAGTTTGGACAAAGAAGTTTGAGAGGGGGATGAAGGAAGCCATACATGTTAAGAAAGAAAAGACAATATTAAAAACAGAGGGGGTGGACTCAAGTTTTAGCTTTCAAAAGACCTCGCCTATTCAACCAGGCCAACAATTCCCTTTAAATGACCTCTCTTTCAGAGACATAGACAGGTATGGGGCATTGCAGGCTAACAAAAGGAGCCAAATTGACCCCCATTCCAAAGGGGTGGACCCATTCGTCCGTTTCAATTTCCATGTTTTCTAAATCAAAACAAGGCTTTGCTTTGATCCACTCTATAAAGCCTGGAACTCAACGCTATTTCTGACATTTTGAATTAAAAAAATCTTCCTGAATGGGAAGAGAAACGTCTTCAAACTTGGAAAAAAGTCCAGTGGATTGTTTTATTTTTAACTTTTTTGGAAATAAATGTGTTCTTGTTTCTATGTTTTCCTCAGTAGGTGATTTCTGATGTTTGCTTGTGATTAAATCTAATATTTGATGGTAATTTAACAGTGTCAAATTTCCCAAACGATGCTTCCTTCCTTCACAGACCATCAATCCGTCTATATAGGCGTCCCAGTTTCCCGTGGCTTACGGCGCAAACGGAGGCGACGGCGCTCCAGTCGAGAGGCTCAGGACATGGACAGGGACAGACACTACAGCCACAGCAGACATCATGGCAATGACCGCTACAGAGACATCGACATAGAGGAAGGACTCATGGATTCAGCTGAGCAGAGTCTGCAGGACATCAACCGGACAAGTAAGACCCACCAAACAGACCTTCCATCTGTGGTTGACGTAGAATCTGAGGATGACTCAATTCCTCCTGTTTAAGTAGACAAAGGTGAAGATTTACTGACAGCTTCTTCATAGCTCAGGCTGATTCTGAACTAAAGACTCCAAAAATCACTACTATTGTTAAAGAAAGTTCTGTGTTTCCACAAGCTTCCTCTTTCCGGTTCTTTCTCTGAGAAGAGATCACCTAGGACAAACTCTTTAAAATAACACTTCATAATCTGTGAAATAACCAGGAGACATGACAACAGATTTGGACAGAAATTATAATCGTACTCAGATCAGAGAAGTTGCTTAGAGTTACAGAAGGCAGCTGCTTACCAATTAAAGAAAGATTTTATACATCTTCAGTCTCACACATCATCACATCGTTACATCATAGACGTTAGCAGATGCGGAGGCATCCATAGCTGCAGCTATATCAAAATATTACACTTTGTTTTTAGATTAAGGTCACCGCTCTCATTCCATTCACCAAAGCTTTACCACATGCAGAATAAAGAGAACTGTATGTCCAGAGAGAGGGACTGTCCTAATTAGATAAACTACAGGGAAAAATATTAGTTCTGACACGCAACAGGCAGGAAATATTAGGGTTTTACAGACTCACACATCATTAAAGGCAAAGTCCGGTCAGCAACGAATAATTAATGGATCATTATCTATACCTAAAACTAATATATTCGCAGTGATTTAAGGAATTTGGCGTTAATCGGTAAAAAAAATAAAAACAATAATTTGCATCGCGATCACTGAGTCTGGGAGCGGCCATTGTTACCCAAACATAGTAGCCCCTCCCTCCTGCCATCTTCCAGCAGTGACGTCACGGTGCGGTAAGCCTAGCGCCATTCTCCCCGCTTTACAAGCTAAATCAATGGGAACTACTAGACACATCTGCAATCAACAACAATTATTGAAGATTTCCAGAGGACTTCACCATTGAAATTCACCAGAGCTATAGTGAAACTGACAATGCCCACGTGCATGGCAGCTGGATGCTGGAATACATCGGGTAAAAGTGAAAAAAAGAGTTATTCCACCTTTCTGATTCCTGATCCTCCACGGACGGGTTGGTCGTTGGATCGCCAACTTGAAGAGGGAGGACTTGCCATCGAACTTCTGGCCAGAGAAAAAACCCGTAATATGTAGCCAACATTTGGAAGAAGAATGTTTTCAAGATGACTTGGATAATAGCGCGTTGTGACAAACACCAGATACAGCACTGGGACTCGATCAACAGCCGATACCGCACCGTGACGTCACTAACCAGTAGGTGGCAGTAGTGTTCTTTGACAAACATGGATGCCTCCAGTAAAGCACATTCACATGAAAATTACTCTGAATTAAAAACACTGATCATTTATTGAACAGTTTGTAATAATTTCAGATTTAAAGAACTTTCAGAAGTTTGAATTCTGAATGTGAGCGGACTTTTCCTTTAATAAGAATAATCATAAAACTATTAATGATGGTGATGATGATCAATAGAAATCAAATTAACTTCATTTTTTAATGTGTTTTATTCAAAGCCATTAATGGAGGCAGTGCTGCCATCATGTTGTGTTCTCTTCCATCTCTCAAACCCGTAATCGACGCTCACATCAGCAGAGGCTCTTCCTGGTTCTCCTGCAGCTCTGGATAAAATAACTGATATCTCTTCATTTTAGCGGCTTCCTTGGTTGAATATTTTTAGCCAGTTTTCACTTTAAACTGAAATGGGATCGTCTGAAATCCAAAGTGAAACCATCCTCTCTGTGACTAACTCGGTAGTACGGAAGAGAATTAGTGCCACAGAATAAAAAGCTAACTGATTATTCTATATTAACATAGAAAAAAAAGTCAGAATTCTAACTTTTTTCTCATATTAAATTTAATAAAATTAAATAAAAAGATCTGTTAACTTTTTCTATTTTTTTTCCAGTGCCCCATTCCTAAAAAAAAAGAAAACAAAGTCAAAATGCTGTAGCGGCTGGACGAAGAGGTGCATTATGGGGCACTGTTTTGGGTTGTTTGCTTGTTTATTTCTTTGTTATTCTGTTTGAATGTTGCTCATGTTGTTTATTGTTCATATTTGCCTCAGTTCATGCTGTTTTGGGGGTGTGTGTTGAAGGCATGTGAGTTTCACCCTGAGTGATAAGGCTGTTGGGTTTACTGAAGGGTTGTGCTGCATCCCTAGCGGAGTTGTTGAAGAATAAATAAACACTGTTGAAATCAGTCAACTAAGCCTGATTATTTGTAACACTCACCGGCGTTACATTGGTGTCAGAAGTGGGATGATGGATCCAGGCTACATCCACGGAGGAGCACAGGAGCTCATCAAATCTGCGCAACACAGATCTGCGTGGATAGCGGAGCAGTGGAGAACCCCGAGTCGCCCAGATGGTTCCAGCGGCCTGCGGATGCCTCATCGTGAAACAGCAAAAATGGCTGAAGATGGTGGCGAACAGAGCTCCAAGTCCAATTCTCAGCCTACTGCCACGAAGACTGCTGTGAAGCTGCCCAAGTATGACGGCACGAACCAGCTGGAGCTGTACCTGAGGCAGGTTCGAATTGCAGCGGCGCACAACGGCTGGAGCGGTCCGGAAACCGCCACACACCTGGCTCTCGCTCTGGAGGGTGAAGCCCAACAAGTCCTACTGTACCTGGCGCCAGAGGAGGAAAATGATGTGTGCGCACTCATCACGGCGCTGGAGCGGCGATTCGGGCGGCGTACAGCTGAGACAGCGGAAAGAGAGAAGTTAGTCAGCCGCCGCCGCCGGGAAGGAGAAAGCCTCGGGGCCTTCGCTGCTGACATCCAGCTACATGCTCGTCGAGGATACCCGAGTTTTCCTGTGGGGGCGCAGGAAGAATTAGCACTCCACGCGTTCCTGCAAGGGCTCAACCCGGAGCAACTCCGCCAGCACGTCCGCCTCGCAATGCCGCAATACCTGGAGGAGGCAATCAGGGAAGCAGAGCGTGCAGAGACCATCCTCTCGGCGTCATGGGTGGAACCTCAACCTCTCGTTCAGCTGGTTAACCGGGAGGAGCAGGAGGAGATACGCCAAATCCAGTATCCAGCCTCACAACAACATCCTGTGGTGAGACGTCCACGTCGCTCTGACTGCTGCTACAGGTGTGGAGAACCGGGACACCTTGCACGTGACTGCCCCGCCCCCACACCAAAAGCCCGGCCCCGCCTGCAGGAGGGAAACGACGATGGGATGGCCAGCAGAGGGGGCCGTCATCCCAGCCTGTAATACCCCTCCAAGGTCGCTGCACGCTGGTAGGACGTTTTGGCTGTACAAAGGGACTTTATATGCACTGCCAGCTTGACCATAATCACTGTCTAGCCCTACTGGACACAGGGGCTACTATTTCTCTGGTGCGGCCGGGAACGCTTCCGGACACGACGGGGACATTGACAACTGTGTGGACACCCACAACCACACAGCTGATGACTGTGACTGGAGAAAAGGCAGGACTAATGGCCAAGAAGCTGCTGAGGGTCCGGGCTGGTAATCAGGAGGTGGTCCATGAGTTCTGGCTTGCCGACATTAAGGAACCGTGCATCATCGGCCTGGACCTTATGCAACGCTGGGAAGCCTGCATCGACGCGTCACGGGCGAAAGTTACACTAGGAGGCGAGACCTTGATGTTGCAGCGTGGGAGGGAGTGACAGGAGGAGCTTGGGCGGACCTATACCACCAGCCACACTGCCCCAGAACATCATGCTGAGCCAGAGGGCCCGTCCATCTCCAACCAAAGCAGTTCAACAGAGACGGAGACAGCGGTGCAGGACCTGTTACAATGCAGCTGTACCGGTCTGAACGCTGAGCAACAGGGTGAGTTAATAGCCCTCCTTAATAACTTTAAAGACATTTTTGCAGCCAAAAATGAGGACTGTACGCAGACCGGACTAATCCAGCACCAGATCGACACTGGCTCAGCTCCACCCATCCGCCTCCGCCCCCACCGGCTGGCTTTTGCCAAAAGGCAAGCAGCAATGGACATGATTAACCAGATGGCCGCCGCAGGAGTTATCGAGCCGTCTGACAGTCCATGGGCAGCGCCAGCCGTGCTGGTCAAGAAGAAAAGCGGAGAGTGGCGCTTTTGTGTGGACTATCGACGCCTGAACAGTGTTACTAAGAAGGACTCTTATCCCCTCCCCCGTATTGATGATGCTTTAGACTGGATTACGGGATCTCAGTCGTTCAGCTCTCTCGATCTGCAGAGCGGCTATTGGCAGGTGGAACTGGCCCCTGACGCAAAGCCCAAGACTGCCTTCACCATCGGCCAAGGGCTTTGGCAGTTTCGGGTGATGCCATTTGGACTTTGTAATGCCCCAGCCACATTTGAGCGTTTAATGGAGAGAGTCCTCGCTGATGTTCCCCGGAGCCGCTGCATCGTTTATTTGGATGACCTGCTGGTGCATGCAGATGGGTTTAAAAGGGCCCTAGCCAACCTCAAGGAGGTGTTTGGTGCCATCCGCCAAGCCGGACTGAGGCTGAACCCCGCCAAGTGCCGTCTCATGTCTAGAGAAACCGAGTTCCTGGGGCATGTGGTCAGCGCCAAAGGAGTGGCCACCAACCCAGCCAAGGTGGCTGCTGTCAAGGACTGGCCAACTCCCAGTAACGTAAGTGAGCTGCGGAGTTTCCTGGGGCTGGCCTCATATTAACGGCGTTTCATCAGGGGCTTTGCAACCATTGCTAGCCCGCTCCACCGCTTGACAGATAAGGGCCACAAGTTTTGCTGGGACGAGAGTTGCTCTGCTGCATTTGATCAACTCCGAACGGCCCTGACCGAAGCTCCAGTCCTGGCCTATCCGGATCCACACCGACCCTTTATTGTGGACACCGATGCCAGCAACACTGGGGTAGGTGCAGTGCTGGCGCAGCGAGGAGAGGATGGGGAGTGCGCGGTAGCCTACTTCAGCCGTGCCCTCAGCCGTGCTGAGCGGAACTATTGTGTCACACGAAGGGAGTTGCT